TTTGGAGACCAGGCTGGCCTCGAACTCACAGAGATCTGCCTGCCTCTGCCTCCTGAGTGCTGGGATTAAAGGCGTGCGCCACCACCGCCCCGGCAAATAATAGTATATTCTATATTCATCCATCTTTCCGTCTTCAAGCTTGCTGATTCTTTCTCTTGCCAGTTCAGGTCTGCTGTTGAGTTCCCCCAGTAACATTTGTTTTTTTATTTAAAATTTTAATTTTAGGTGTGTGAGTGGTTTTTTTTTTACCTGTGTACCACCTGCATGCTGTGCCAGAGGAAGCCAGAAGGGGGCATCTGATTTCCTGGCAACTAGAGTTACAGTCAGTTGTTAGCCACCATGTGGGTGCGGGGAATCGAACCAGGGTCCTCTGGGAAAGCTGCAAGCACTCTTAACCTCTGAGCCATCTCTCTTAACTGCCTCCACCAACATTAAAAAAAAAATCTCATTTATTGTACTTTCAACTTCAGATTCCATTATTTTAAAAATATTTTTTATCTGCTTGTCAATATTCTGTATTTGATGGGCTGTTGCTCTCATAGTTTTTTATTTCTCAAGCACGATCTCCAGTGGCTATTTCAACACATGCATAATGGTTGCCCTGGGGTTTGTCCTCCTGACAGCTCCTCTCACAGGCAGTTTCTGTAGCTTTCTCCCACCTCCCCACACACCTACCCCCCCCCCCATTCACGGGGTGCTATTTCTGTTCTGTTTTGAACTCACGTCTTTTAAACTTTGGTTGGACACTGGGCATTTAGAGTGTGGCCCTGGACATGCACGTGGTCAGTCTGGAAGGACAGTGGCTTGTGGAAGGGTGCCCTGTGACTGCCCCCCATCTCCCCGTTAGCCTCTGCTGGGGTCACACCTAGCCATTAGGCTCCACCTCATTGATAAGGGATGGGTCCACTGCTCACAACTCTGTCCTAGGGCACACACTGCTGAAAGATTGATGACCTGAAATGCAGGCTCCTTCCCCAGGGGTAGTTTCCTGCAAGACTGCAGTTTGTTCTGACCCGAGGAGGCTCCCTGTGGCTCAATTTTCAAAAAGTGATTTTCTCTGGTAGCTGTTGGCCTTATGGTTTAGTTTATTGGGATTATGAGGCTGTGGCCTCCTGTTAATTCCTCGCTACCAAGATCTCTACTGTTTTTGAAACTGCCCCTGAAGAAGTCCTTGAAGAGTTTAGATGTCAGTGCTTACAGCTTGCCTGCTTGCCTGCGGCCACTTTCCCAGGGGGACACCTTGCTTTTTGAGTTGAGTACTAACTAGGTGGGACTGGAGCTTCATCTGGCTCTTTTTGTTTTCTCCCAGCATGGTATTTCCACCGCATGGGTGGGCTAGTGTGAGCCTGACCAGGGCGCCAGCACTCTCGGAGCAAGTGGCCAGGGCAGTCTCTGCTCTGTGAATGGGGCAGGGTGCAGGAAGGGCTCCTTGCCTTCCAGCCATGCTCATTCGAGACTGCATCTTGGCTGCACAGAGCTGGAGTCCGGTGGGAGAGGCTGGTAGCCTCTTTCCTGTAGGGCTGAGCCCTGGACTGGGGGCTGGTGAGGAGGGCTGGTGTGTTCTTGGCTGTGCCCCTGGAGCTGACTTCTACTGTTCCTCATGAGAGGAAGCGGTCACGGTTCTAATGTCACAAGACTCAGTGTTCTTACACAGTTTTAGTAGGCTTTCTTTTTTTCAGTGTGCGTGCGTGCGTGTGTGTGTGTGTGTGTGTGTGTGTGTGTGTGTGTGTGTGTGTGTGTGAATGTTTTGGGTGTGCTCATCTGTGCATGAGAATGCAGGCCAGATGTTAATATTCGGTGTCTTATATTACTCTCCACTTAATTTTTTCGAGACAGGGGTTTTCACTGAACCGGATTTCACCATTTTCGGGTAGACTGGCTGGCCAGGGGGCTCCTGGGACCTGACTGTCTCCCCCCTCGGTGCTGGGGTCACAGATGTGTGCTGCTGTGCCTGGCTTTTACATGGGTGCTGAGGATCTGCCCTGGGGTCCTCCTGCTTGCACAGAAAACATTGTACTCCCTGATCCATCCCCAAAGTCCAGATTTTCCTGAATAAATGTTCTTGAGTTGCTCCGCGATCTAAGACAATTTCCAGGGAATTTAGAAGAAGCCATTTCCACCACACATATAGCTGCTTTGCTGGAGGAGCTTGTCCACGGAGCTCTTCACACCAGCACAGGGCTCTGGGCAAGACCACAGGCTCTCAGTTTTGGGAGTTCGATCCCACCTCTCACTTGAAATTATTGCACCGTTTGGAAGTCCTGGAGATTGAACTCAGGACTTTGTATATTCTAGGCAAGTGATCAACCACTGAGATGTACCCCATCCCAAGGCACTGGAGAGGGAAAAGGTTTATTTTTGAGATACAGTCTTGCTACGTAGCCCAGGCTGGCCTTAGATCCTTGTGCCTCAGCCTCCTCAGATCATAGGCATACAACCCCATCTAGCTTAGAGATTCGGTATTTGTCCAAGTGTTATTTGTAATAACTCAGTGTTGAAAGGCTTGTAACAAAGGCCCCCCCTCTTCTCTCCCCCATGTCTTCCTTATCTCTGTCCCCAGAGGCACTCTGCAGTTACCGGATGACCCACCGGCCAGCTCACTCTTAACGGAGGCTCCTCCTGATGCCCTGGCTTCTCCCTCGCTCTAGTTCTTCCCAGCTCCTCTCTCACTCCCGGCCCGCTGTCCCTCCAGGACTTCCTGTTCATTTTCTTGTGTTGGATTACATGATGGCTGAACCTCATCATCTTTCTTGATTTTATTTCTTTATTTGGGTGGCATGTATCTGGCTGCTGGTGGGGTTTGGGGAAGAACTCCTGAGCCATGCTGATGGGGTACGGATGGACACAGCCACTGTGGGGGTCACAGGCATACCTTTTCTTGTCAGTGCCTAAAGCATCCTCATCACACCTGAGGAGGTTGGGCTCCGTAATCACTGACTTATGGATGCTGTGCAGTTCCCAATCTTTTCTCTCCAACAGCTCTGCAGTAAGAGTTTATAAGCATAATGGCCAGATGAGTCACTAGAGGTGACAGCCACAGACTGTAATTCAAACATCTATAATTTTGGTGGCACCTCCCTACTCTGGTTTGGCTACTGTGTCACCGCCCAGAAGTCCATGTGTCCATCATCTAGATGGTGATCCCTGGAGGAACCTTGGGGCTTTTTTTTTTTTTTTTTTCCTAGCTAGGGTTTCTTTGTGTAGCCCTGGCTAGCTCTATAGACCAGGCTGGCCTCAAACCCACAGAGATCTGCCTGTCTCTGCCTCCTGAGTGCCCAGGTTAAAGGCACGTGACACCACAGCCTGGCAGAGCCTTGGAGCTTTTTTGTTGTTGTTTGTTTGTTTGGTTTTGGTTTTTCGAGACAGGGTTTCTCTGTGTAGCTTTGCGCCTTTTCCTGGATCTCACTCTGTAGACCAGGCTGGCCTCGAACTCACAGAGATCCGCCTGGGTCTGCCTCCTGAGTGCTGGGATCGAAGGCGTGCGCCACCACCGCCCGGCGCCATCGAGCTTTTAAGAGAAGAACCCGGATGTAGTCCTTGAGGCAACTGTGGTCCTTGAGGCAATCGGGGGTACTGCTCTATGAGGCCTCTGGGGAATTACTGGGAGGAACTCTCTCTGGCTGTGTGCAGAGTTGGCGATCCTCTACCCTCACAACTCTCCATCATTTTTTTTTTTTTGGTTTTTCGAGACAGGGTTTCTCTGTGTAGCTTTGCGCCTTTCCTGGAGCTCACTTGGTAGTCCAGGCTGGCCTCGAACTCACAGAGATCCGCCTGGCTCTGCCTCCCGAGTGCTGGGATTAAAGGCGTGCGCCACCACCGCCCGGCCCCTCCATCATTTTAATCTGCCCTGATATGCCGCAGTAAGGAGCTTGCCAGAGCTGTGTCAATTCAGGTGCCATGTCCCTGACCCTCTGGTCCCTTGAGCTAACTCCTTATTTTGTTAGTCTCTTCAAGTATTTTGCTAAGTGATTAAACAGTGACTGACACCCTGTCAAAGTCAGCTCTGGAATGTATCAATTTACATTATAAAGGGCAATGTTTGGGCAGCCCTCTTGGAGGGCTGGATGTAGACAAGTCATTGGCCACAGTGAAGGCCCAAGGGCTGATGCACTCCCCAAACTCCAGTGGGCGTCGGTGAGGAGTTGCATGAGGCAGAGGAGGCCATTTTGGCTGGACGCTGCCAGAACTCCTTCAGAATTCTAGGGATTCCTCACAGGCTCTTGAAGTTGTCTTTGTGGCCGGGAGACAGGGATGGAGCTTTCCACCATATTTTTTGGTGGGGGACAAAGGCTCTCACTGAACTTTCAGCTCAGCAACCGGCTACACTGGCTGGCCAGCAAGCTCCAGGGATCTGCTTATCTGCCCATCCAGCACCAGGGTCACAGATGTGCTCCACCAACACCTGGCTTTTGCACAGAAGCTGGGGATTCAAACTCAAGTCCTCCCGTTTGTACTCCCCCGAGAAAGCCACCTTTCAACCCCTCCCCCCCACTGTACTCCATTGAAGCTCATCTTGGACCTAAGGATCAGACACACATCATGGACACTCATGTGCAGGATAGGTGTACAAACGTGTGTTTACTCCGACTCTAAAGTTTACAAGGGAGCTAGGCAGAAGGTCACAATATACACATTGCCGACTCCATGACTCGGGTTTGGCTTACTGACTTGGTTCACCGCTGTCGCTGGAAGGCTATCCTGATACCAGCAGGATGCGGAAGGAGATGGGTGACTGCAGAAACAAGTCCACTGGGAGGGGCAGGACAGGGGCCCATCAGCAGAGTGCCAGGGGCCAGAGCGGGCTCTGAGCTGGTGCAGGCTCATCCCACGTTGCACCATGATCCCGCTGCCGTTTTAGAGGCTCCCAAGCCACCTGGTGACAGATGGCGGTGTTCATCTCCATAGCACACGTCACTTAACAAGATCATGTGATTGCAGTCGCCCAGCCCATTGGGGTAGCGCCGTGTCCCTGTCCAGAATGGACAGATTGAGTATGTGACCCACTTGGTCATGAAGGCAAAGTTTGCCCAAGGCATGTTGCCCATGCTCTCGGAGGCCCTGCAGGTCAGCCAGGGCTGAGATCCCGTAAAAGGTTTCCTAGGCCAATGCGGCCATTGTGGCAGGTGCCAGGCCACAGGGTCTGGTTTGCAAAGTAGCGAGGCTTTGCGTCAACCTCCACCCGTTGGGCCATCTGTCGTGGGGCTGGGATAGGCTGTCAGCCCCACTGCTTCCTCCTCCTCCTCCTCTGTCTCGGCTTCTCATGTCTTCCCCAGAATAGAAGATCTGCAGATTCAGACACACAGGAGAGTAAGGTGAGCCCCTCCCTGGGGCCAGACTGCTTCCACCAGAGGGCACCTTCTCAGCACCATAGAGGTGGCCAGAGGGGGTGTGGCAGATCCTTTGGGCTCAGCCCTCTGGGCCCACTGTACTGTGGGATGTTCTGTATGGCAAATATGTTAATAAATGAAACACTGATTGGCCAGTAGCCAGACAGGAAGTATAGGCGGGACTAACAGAGAGGAAAATTAAGGGAACAGGAAGGGAAGGAGGAGACTGCCTGCAGCCGCCGCCAGGACAAGGAAGATGTAAGGTACCAGTAAGCCATGAGCCACATGGCAAAGTATAGCTTAATAGAAATGGACTGAATATAAGAGTAAGAGCTAAACAATGACAGGCGTGAGCTAATGGCCAAGCAGTTTAAATAATATAAGCGCCTGTATATTTATTTTATAAGTGGGCTAAGGGACTGCTGGGGCTTGGCGGGACCTGGAGAGAAAACTCCAGCTACACCACTGCTTGTTTCTGACTTCTATCTGGCTCTGCTAACATGCTGAGCAAGCTGGAGACAGTGTGTATGGGCGGGGCGGGATGTGCACGTGCAAGTGTGTTGTTTTCTGGCATAAAAATATGGACCAGGAGTTCCTGGCCCTGGGATATGCATCCTGACCATTCCACAGAGGTACAATGACCCCAGGGAGGGGTCACTGGCTCAGTCTCCTTCCAGTATCCATAACCTTTGAGTTCCTCTCTGATCTCTCTGGTCCTGGCTTGTTCCTCTTCCCTCCTCAAGGGTAGAAGACTGATGAGCAAATTCCTTGCAAACCCCTCTGCCCTGTCCTGGCTCCAAGTGACCCACTTGTCTCCCTCCACTCACCTTGCATGCCCCATCCTGGCACACAGACCCACCTTAGAGATCTCCACCTCTCCTTTTCTGTCTGGTTCTCTGGGCTCTCACTCTCATAGGAAGCCAAATACAGACCTAAACCAAAACGGAAGTGAAATTATGCAATTATGGCAGGTGACAGTAACTCTTTGTTCACCCAGAACTTGACCAGCTTTCTTTGTGGATTAAATGTCTCGTCTGGAGGCCATTGTTCATAGGCAGTTTTACAAAACAGCATGCAGAGATCCCAATGCCCTCTACTCAGTTTCCCCAGCAGTACCCACGTGCAAAACTGTAATACAGAGCGTGTCCTTCACTTAGGATGGTTTAATTTTTCTGCTCATGATGATGGTATAAGATGACAAATCTGAAATTTGAATTCGGATTTTTTTCCTTGGCTAACAATAGGAAGTGTGCTCCCCTCTGTGAGCTGCGGCCACACCCTCATCAGTCATGTGACTCCAATACATACAGTGTATCATAGTCAATAAACAACATGGACTATTCCTCATATAGCAATATAATCTGTTTCATGTTAGCCCAGGCATGTTGGCACACCTTTAAGCCCAGCACTCAGGAGACAGACGCAGTCAGATCTCTGTGAGTTCAAGGCCAGCCTGGTCTTCATAGAAAGTTTCATGCCAGCCAGAGCTACATAGTGAGACCCTGTCTCAAAAAAGTAAAAATAATAAACCAAAACATGTGGTGGTATTGTGTTCCCCAAAATATTGTGCACCCTAATAAACTTATCTGGGGTCAGAGACAGAACAGCCACTAGATACAAAGGCTAGAAAATGGTGGCACTCACACCTTTAATCCTAGCATTACAGAGGCAGAAATCCATGTGTTCGAGGATACAGCCAAGCATGGTGATTCACACCTTTAATCCCAGGGAGTGGTGGTAGAAAGCAGAAAGGTATATAAGGCGTGAAGACCAAAAACTAGAAGCATTTGGCTGGTTAAGCTTCAGGCTTTCTAGCAGCACAGTTCAGCTGAGAGCCACTGGAATAAGGACACAGAGGCTTCCAGTCTGAGGAAACAAGACCAGCTGAGAAGTTGGCCAGGTGTGGTTAGCTGTGGCCTGTTCTGTATCTCTGATCTTCCAGCTTCACCCCAATATCTGGCTCACAGGTTTGATTTTATTAATAAGACTTTAAGGTTCCTGCTACAAAAACAAATGCACAAAACCAAAACTAGTTGTCTTTGTGTTAGAGGACTGCGATACTGTAATGTAAGCATTCTAAGCACATTTGCCGCAGGTGATCTGTAGGCTCAGGGTACTAGAGATGTGTTTCTGACTTACGGTGTTTCCACTTTAGGATGGGTTTACTGGGGTGTAATTCCATCATGAACTGAGGTGCCCAGGTACAGTACTACCACAATCAGGACCCTGACATTGGCAGAGTTTAGACACCAGGCATTTCCATGACAGCTGAAGCACCCGTGGGCAAAGGGGCCCCTTTAGAGTCACCTCCACATCCTTCACTGCCCCACACTTCCTTTTTCCTTTATCCTCTCCTCCCCTCTTCTCCCTCACCCCCCTCCTTCCTTTCTGTGATGTTGGGGATTGAACCCAGGGCAGCATTCTATCACCAAGCTACATCCCAGATCCCCCGACCCCTTTTCTTAATTTCTGACAATCACTAATCTAGTCTCCATTTCTTTCTTTTGATCATTTGAAGAATGCTATATAAATAAAGTCATATATACATTACATATATGTAATCTTTTTGAGACTGGAGACTCATCCATGAGGTGGCATGTATCAGTGGCATGCATCCTGTTTGAGTCTGAAAAGGTCTAAGCAGGGGTAAAACACAGTGGGTTTAACCATTCACCCACTGATAGACACTGGGGTGTTTTCAGGTTGACATTGTAACAAAGGGAATTTATAAACACCGATATATCGAGTTTTGTTTCTCTGTGAGCATGGATATCATTTGTCTAGACTAAATCAATGCCCAGGAGTGCAATTTCTTGGTCGTAAAATGTTAATAGTACTCAGTTTTACAAGAAACTCTTTGTCAGTTGGGCATGCTGGTACCCTGTCTGTAATCTCAATACTAGGGGACCCAAGTGTGAGTTTGGAGTTAGTCTGGGCTACGTAAGTGCTAAGCTAACCTGAGCAACACAGTGAGACCCTACCTCAGCAAACAAAACAAAACAAATCTAGATAACCACACAAAGCAAAACAGACAAACCCCAAACCAAGCCCACTTTGTCTACACAGGTGCTTCCTGGGATGTGACAGTTTGTTATGACCCGGCTACGTCCCAATAAACTCCTACAAAGTGAAACTGCTGTTCTTAAATCCATGTATTCAACAAGCCAGACATGGCACCACAGGCCTGAAACCCCAGCTGCTCTGGAGGCCGAGGGAGGAGGATCACCAGGTCAAGTTTGCCTGGGCTACAAAATGAGTTCAAAGCCATCCCAGGCAACTTAGTGAGACCCTGCCTCAAAATTAAAAAAAGAGGCCTGGGGATATAGCTCAGTGTTAGGATATTTGCCTGGTGATGGTGTGAGGCCTTGGGTTCAATGGTTTCCAGAAATCAATGCCTCATGCCAGTGTGTATCACATGCTGCCCTCACATGTGCCCCCACACATGCACCATCCATGGAAAGACCCATAACTGCGCCACTGCTCTGCTCTCTCATATGAGCCCCAGTTCTTATCCTCATTCCGATCTCAGGAATGAAGAAAACAGGGGAGGTTGATGTTGAAATGAGCCTATACCCTACTCTGATTCTTCCATGTTCACTTATGCTTGCAACATAGTATGCCCATGGCAGACAGACAGGCTGCTCATGGTTAGAATGCCCAATGATGACCACACTGTGTGCAGGGAGGAATCTGGACTCAGGGTTCCTTGAGGTCCTAGCATGTACTGTTGAGTTGACCTTGAGCTCCTTAGGAGGCACCTGGGTGCTCATTAGACAAGAGAACGTGCCTTCTCTGCTCCACTTGGGGCCAGCAGTGTGACGTGTCTCTGCCCAGAGTTGGGATTCCTGCATGGTGACTGACTAAAGGGCCGAGAGACCACTGGACAGTCTACTGCCTGGACGTCAAGGCCATGGGGCTACCTTACCGTCTTCGCTGAAGATGGGGGCGGTGTACAGGTAATGGGTGATGCTGGGATCTTGCTCAAAAGGACATTCCACTTGTTTCCAGGTGATGAACTCTCCAACCTGTTTGGCCAGTTCCAGAAATTTCTGTGGGGTTTACAGAGACACAAAATGGAGCAAAGTGAGTGGCTTGCCTTGGTAAAGCCTTGGCTCATCACCCTTGAGTGATCTCGTGGATCTGAGAAGAAACATGGGACCAGAGGTGACAGAGAACCTAGGAAGGATGCTGGGACTTCTGGGAGGATCACCTTGCCAATTCTCCTTCATCCTTCATAGCAATTCATGACACCTGTCACCTCAGGCTCCCAGTCCCCCATCAAGGGGAGTGGCAGCCATTGGCCTATAGTTTTGTCTCGTTATGTAGCCCTGGCTGGCCTGGAACTACCTACGTACATCAGGCTGGCTTCAAACTCACAGAGATCCTTTTGCCTCTGCCTCCAGAGTGCTTGGATTTAAAGGTGTGTGCCACCACACCTGACTGCCCAAAGCCTTTATCTGCATGTAGCAAGAATGTGCATAGCTTTATTTGAATTTCTTTTTGTGTTTTTCTTTTGGGAAAGTGACATACACTTGTTGACTTATAGGGTGATGTAAATATAGTTCAGTAAATCTCTTTAAGTAAAATTTAAGTAATTTTAAGAGATTTGTGTTATTTTTAATTATGTGTATATATGTGTGTATGTGCACATGAGCACAGGTGCCCTCAGAGGCTAGAAGAGGGTGTTAGAACCCCTGGAGCTGGAGTCCCAGGAATCCGTGAGTCTCCTGACATGGTGCTGGGAACCGAACTCAGGGCTTGTGAAAGATCAGTACATGCTATTTACTGCTGAGCTATCTCTGCAGCACAGGTGAATTCTTAAAAGTTTTATGGCATTTTATTTATTTATTGTGCATGTATGTGTAGGCATATATGTACCTTGGTGCTCATGTGGAGGTCAGAGAACAACTTGCCAGAGTCAGTTATGTCCTTCTAACCATGTAGATCCTACGGATGGAACTCAGGTCATCGGGCAGCAAGTACCTTCATCCACTGGGCTATCTCAACAGTCCTCAGTAAGTTATTTCAAGTGTATTTTTAAATAAAATCATCTTTCAATACGCACAAGCAGTTGGTTCTAGGATCCCTTCACCCCAACCGAGATACCCAAATCCACAGAGGTCCCGGTCCCTTTTCTAAGATGGGCTATTATTTCCATGTAGCAGATATACCTCATGAGGCAAGCTTTAAACCATCTCCAGGCTTTTCCTGACACCTAACCCAATGTAAATGCTACGCAGATGGCTTCTGTGTGCATTGTTCCGGGAACAGTGACAAGAGAAACAGTCTGTACATCTCCAGTACAGATGTAAATAAGAAATATTTTCCATCCACCAATGCAGAACTCACGGAAACAGAGGGCTGGCTACATGTGTGTTTAAATTTTCAAAGTATGCTAACTTTCAGAAGGGTTTTAAACACATAGCAGCCGGCTGTGTTTGACTGTGAAATGCTCCCCACAGGCTGATGTGTTTGAACATTTCTTCCCCAGTTGGCAGTGCTGTTGAAAGGTCATGGGTCCTCTGGGAGGTGGAGATTTGCTGAGGGAAGAAGGTCCCTGGGGGTGGGCTTTGAGGGTTTACAGCCTGGCCTCACTTGCTGCCTGGACTCCACTTTCGGAGTGCAGACGCAATGTGGTCAGTCAGCTTCCGGCTCCTACCTCCACGCCTTCCCTACGATGATGGACTCTTATCACTTTAGAACTATAAGCCCAAACAAACTCCTTCTCCTTTGTTCTTGTTAGCAACATCAAAGAGAATAGGACACAGCCCAAAGCCATGCCTGGGGCTGACAGCCTGCCCCCGGTCACCCCTCAATCAGCCCTTGTAGCTGGGTCTGGCCGCCACCACCTGCTCCCTCAGCATGTGGTTTCATGAGGGAGTGTCTCACAGTCTTCCCCAGCTCTGATTCTAAGGACCGATTCAAGAAGAGGAAAGGATGGAGTCCCAACTCCCAATTATATGTCAGGATCACCAACAACAAAAAAAGCCCATCCCAGGCCCCTGGACTTCTGTGATCTCATCCATGTGGCCTCTAGACAAAGGCCTGGGGACACATGCTGGGTTGGGCAGTCCCCTGGTTCTTCCAGCTTTGGGACAATTAGGCCTGTGAGTCACCTGCTATAGGCCAAAGAGCCTAGGCTTGTGCTGTGGTCCTCATGAGCAGGGAACACTCAGAGAATTTTTGACAGCCTCCAAGACCTCTGTATGGTCACAGTTGTGGCCCATTTCACAGAGGGAGGGGATGAGCTTCCTATAGCAGTTCTCAACCTTCCCTTTAACACAGCTCCTCAAGGTTGTGGGGACCCCTGACCATAACATTATTTTCATTGCTACTTCATAACTGTAATTTTGCTACTGTTAAGAACTGTAATGTAGCCAGGCAGTGGTGGCGCATGCCTTTAATCCCAGCACTTGGGAGGTAGAGGCAGGTGGATCACTGTGAGTTCAAGGCCAGCCTGGTATGCAAAGCAAGTTCCAAGACAGTCAGGGCTACACAGAGAAACCCTGTTTCAAGAAACCAAGGTTTAAAAAAAAATTGTAATGTAAATATCTGTTTTCTGGTAGTCTTAGGCAACCCCTGAGAAGGGGTCATTTTCTGACCCCAAAGTGTCGCAACCCACAGATTGAGAACCACTGAAATGAGCAAGTAAAGGTTCAGGATTTATATTTCTTGGAGCTGAAGGCTGAGTGGGTATCAGGTGACCACTGAGGGTCACTTGCTGAACCTTGTGTAAGACAAAAGTCTTTCTTCCCACAGATCAGAAGGTCCTATTACTCCACACCATGCTCTGTTTGTAGAGCACACCCGCCACACTGGATGTGGGTGGACCCCTCTGAGGCATTCAGGAACTCCAGTTCTCTGAGCGAGTAACCAATGTCCTGGCCTGCTGTGGACCCCGGGCAGTGGGATCTCTCTGCCTGAGAGGTGCTGGGGACTTCCTGGAGGAGGGGACATTTGATGAGACTGGTGATCTGAGGGAGCAGATATCTCTCTTTGCTTCTGCCCTCTGTGGTTTCTACTTCATAACTCTATCCTGCTATCCAGGGACCGTCCTTCTGGGGACCTGCCCTGGCTCCCATGTACTACGCATTTGTGTGGTCCCTGGAGCACCTTGGCAGCTGTCATCATGGGTCTACAGGGTTTGCTTTCTCTTCAATCTGGTGCTCTTCAAGGATCAAAATGATCCCTGTGCTGAGAACAACATTTAGCATGGAGGGCTTGTTGGCATATGCCTGAGCCTTATCCTCTCTCTTGTTAGGGGGACCCAGATAATCCTACTCCGAAATGGCTGTAAGCTGCTGCACTCTGCCATTCCTGGAGCCCCCATTAATCCAGGTATCCAGAGACTAAGAGTCCCATATTGTGAGATATTTGATTACACTGTGTAAAGATATGTCACTCTGGCTGGTTTAATAAAGAACTAAACAGCCAATAGCTAGGCAGGATTTTCGGGCCAGAGAAAATACTGTAAAGAAGGCAGAGTTGCCAGCCAGACAGAGAGGGAGCAAGATATTCAGGAGGACAGGTGAAAGCTGTGAGTCATATGGCAGCACACAGATGAATAGAAATGGGTTAATTAAAGTTATAAGAGCTAGCTAGGAACAAGCCCAAGCTATCGGCCGAGCATTCATAATTAATAGTAAGTGTGCTCTGGGAGCTGGCGGGCGGGACAGAGAAAGACTCACTGCAGTCCCATGCTGGCAACTTTTGTCTGTGTGTGTGTTTGTATTTGCATGACTGCAGGTGCATGAGGGCAAGTAGAGGCCCAGGGACAACCTCAGAGACTGTCCAGCCTGCTTTTTGAGACAGTCTCTCACTGGCCTGGAACTAACCAGTTAGGCTAGGCTGACTGGCCAGAGACCGCCACAGATCCACCTTTCTCCTCCCCCCAGGACTAGGATTATGAACATGCACCAGCAAACGCAGCTTCTCTTCACATGGGTCCGGGGTTGGAACTCAGGTCCTCAGTAAAGTGCATCCCGAGCACTTCAGTGAGGTGTCTCTCTAGCTGCCTCCCCTGTTTGTGCTGGGAACTTTCAGCAGCTTGTCTCACTTGCTGGCATCCCTGAAGGCCTGTGGACCCACCTCAAAGTTGACATGCCCATTGGGAAGGCGGTTGGCGCAGCCCTCGTTGAGGAAGTAGATGTCCTTGATGAGCAGACTGAAGAAGGGGATGACAATCTAGAAGGGAGAGGGTGCAGAGCAACTTACAAGCACAGCCCCAGCAGCCCAGAGCCAGGAGGGGGCTCGGAGTACAGGCACATGAAGCCCTAGCTTATGGTCACCAGCCCCATGGTCACCAGCCTCAGCGTGGAAGGGAGAAAAATCATGCAGAGATACACTGTGGGAAGAGACTTCTCCATTCAGATCTCAGCCCAGCTTCTATAGAGTCTGCCCTACAGTCCAACTCCTGAGCTGTGAGCCAGTACCTCTGTGACCAAAACACAGCACCACCTGTGTCCTGGGAACAGAGAAGCAGTTGATGGACTATATAACAAGGCCATATTCACAGCTGTGCAAGATGGGGTTTGATGCCCTGCTCTGCCACGGCCTAACAGTACAACTGAACAGTGAAGAATCCTCTCTGAGACTCAGTCTTCCAATCTGGCAGATGGGAATGCTGAAGCCCATCAGAGTTAAATGGAGGGCTGGGAAGCATGGAGCCCACATGCACTAGATGCTCAGTGGAGAGAGCTTCCTGCCCTTGCTGCCTGGCTTCCTAACGTTCTGGGTCCTGGGCTGGGACACAGCCTTACTAGGACAGGGACTGAGCTAGGTGATTTGGTCCTCCAGGTCCCTAGCTGCTACAGTTTGGATCCTGTGTTTTTCAAAGGCCCACATGGCTATGGCTTGCTTCCCAGGGAGGTGTTCGTGGGAGGCAGTGGAAACCTTAGGAGGTAGGGTTTAGTTAGCAAGAGATACTTAGTTTCTGGGGACATGCCTTTGAAGGGACTATGAGACTCTGGGTTCTTTTTCTTCTTTTTGGCTCTCCTACCATCAAGTGAACAATTTAATTTTTATCATGCGTCTTTACCATGAAAGGCCCACGGCCACAAAGTCAACCGATCACGGACTGAAATCGTTGACATCAGCCGAAACCGAACCTTTTCTCTGTATGAGTTTGCTGCGTCAGCTATTGGGTTGCAGTAACAGAAAGCGGATCGGTACATGCAGTGTACAGCCCGCCTGAGGTAATACGGGCTGGAGGAGGGAGGAGCTATGGAGGCTGGCACTTCCGGCCTTTGACGGTCCCTTCCCTACCTTCTCTCTGCTGCTGTGAGCAGTCAGCGAGCGGTGAGCGGCTCCACGCAGGGCTGTCCTATAGTTGCAGAAATTCCCCGTGGGGTCCATCTGGTGCTGGAAGGAGACAGGGTACCATGTGAGCGGCTACGTTCGTTCGGGGACCTGCTGGCCACACCCCTTGGAGCAGCAACCCTGTTTACCTCTAGGATGAAGAACTTGGCTGTTTTCACTTTGGCCCAAGTCTTCTTCAGCCTGGAGACAGGGCTCATGTTCATACCGGCTGGAAGAAGGCGTACAGGGCTGGGAGGGCTCCTCCAGCCTGGACAGTCCCCTTGGTTCCCACAGGCAAGGAGGTCTCAGTGTGCCCCGCCCCGACGGTGGCTGGAGGGTAGCTGAGTGGGCAGGTGCTGGTGGACACCGGACTGAGGTTGGCAGGTAACTGACCCTGTCCCAACTACATGGGCCCACCATGGCATCACCAGTACCTGTTTTGGTCTCCTCATTCTCTCTCTCTCTGGGTGCACCCTGCCAAACTCTTCAAATGCACCCCTTGGGGACTGGCCTTGCTTCAAATGGAGCAGCTCCATCAGCCTCTGGGGCAGGGATACGGCCTACTGGCCACCTAGCCCACAGCCACCCACTGCAGGGAAGACCCTTGACATGCACCCCACCTGCCAGTTGTGCCCCCTTTAACCTCTCTGGGGGCCCTCACACAGGGTGTTCCAGGCCCGGGCAAGCTCACTCACAGATAATGGCCATGAGGGAGTTGAAGTTGCCGATGTTGAAACACTCACGGGCCACATCAATGAAGAACTCGATCACCTGCGCTCTCTGCTTCTTCTTGGCTGGCTGGGGAGAGGGCATCCGAGCTGCAGGGGGCACATGTCCCTCCCCCTCCCTGCCCGAACACCCCATTCCACCAGCCTCCTCCTGCTCTTCTCAAAGCCCATTTCACAGCTGGGAAGACCAAGGCCCAGGGTCTCAGGACCCTTTGCAGCAGAGTCAGCGCACACCGTAGAGGTGTGGAGGGCAGATGTGACCCAGTGAAGCCACCCCTGCAGCTGCGAGGGGCTGTGAGGCACCTTTGAGATGGTTCCCCTCAAGGCTGAACGTCCCCTCAAAGACAGAAGTCCTGACATTTCCTTCCCCCTCACCACAGAACTTGCCCTCTCCTCGGTAAGGGCCATACACCAAGCCCAGGTCCTGCTCTGTGGGCTGCCCCTCTACTGCTTTCTATCTGAGAAAGTCACCTTGGGGACAAGGACTTGGGACTCTCTACCTTTCTGGAGGGTTGGAATCAAACTGTCCTTTTCCCCAGGCCACCGTAGGTGGGTTCCTGGGTGCCCAGCTAGGCTCTGTCCAGGCTCCACACAGGTAAACCCTGGCTTAGCTGCCCAGCCAGGAATGTGACTGCGGGAACGGGGCCAGGCCAGTCCAACTCGGGTGGATCCTGCTTGTCTATCAACACAGTGGTAGGCTCGCCAGCCACCAAGACGTGTACTGTGACAGCTCTGTAGGTGTGCCACCAAAGCCCCTCCAAGGAGTGGTCTCTGCTGCAGAAAGCTGCCCACCTGAGATCCAGTCCTGCCCTTCAAATGGCGACAGTCACCACGACAGTGACAGAGGTTTAGATAAAGGCTGGCACCTCACCCCACTATGGACACCACAGCCCAGTTCCTCCCTTAGCACACGCCTGACTGCCCTGGTCATGTCTCAGCGGCCGACCCCTAATGAGCATTGACCCTTGACCTCTGTCTCAATGCCTGCACCCAGGGAGCCCAATTGGACTGGCCAGTCTGTCCCGCTGTGCTTCCCCTTATCGGATCCTGCCCTTGGTACAAAGGAAAAGCAGAGGAGAGGCAGGGTGCGGCCAGGGTGGCCAACACTGGGATGCCAGAACTTCCTGCTGACAGACGCAGCCACTGGCCTGGACTTGTTTTACCATTCAGTTTTTTTTAAGAATTATGGTCCATCATTTTCTATATTCAGAAAATGACATATAAAAAGTGCACTGGAGACTGAGGGTTTGGGTGAAATCGTTCACACCCTTCAGAACACTGACTATACATACATGTTCAAAGCAAGGCTAATAGATACGGTGAAACCTACTTTTCTCCCTCAAATATCATTTACTAACAGCACTAACGACAGCATAACTTTAGATTACACTCAAGACGCTAGTAAAAAGTATTAGGGGCTTGATATTAAATAAAATAGATGATTTAGGAATAGATTTATTCCCAATCTCATTGTTGGCCTGAACTTTTAACGTGCAATTTCCCAGTTCTTAGAGGTTAGACCATTTTACCTCCAAGCCCCAAGCAAGCTACAGAGCCCAGCTGCCTGAGGCAGACGGGCCCAGAATGAGGCACACGGCAGCCCGCCCTTGCTCCTCAGCAAACAGTCCGGCTTCCTCTGCAGCCTTGGCTGGTGGAGCCACCCTGAGATTTACCCACAGGGGACCTTCACTGAAGGGAAGAGGTGAACCTGGTCTGGCACAGTGATCCAGCCAAGCCCTGGACTTGGGAGGCTGGGATTCAGTAGATCCTTCCAGGCCCCAGGTAGCCTCTGGCTGGCAGGCAGGCAGGCAGGGCCAAGCTGGCTACTCACCATGCAGATCTCAGTCGCCACGAGATAACACAGCCTGTTGAACCACTTCACGTAGGCCTCTACGTTGTTCCTCTTGTCACTGAACCGGGGCTAGGAGAGACATGCGCACTGAGTCTCCTGGTTGGCAAGTTTTTAGGGAGCAGAAGCAGATCACAGTCATTATAGAGAACCCAGACACTTGTGACCGTCTCAAAGTCAGCCAGCAACACAATGATCCGATGGGAACTTCCTGATCTTCTTCCTACAGTAGACTGCATACTCCCAATGTGGGAGGTCCTCAGTTCCATCCACAGCACCAGATAAAGTACAAATAAATGAATTAAGGGGGCTGTAATTCAAAATTATGGGTGTGTACACACAGAACCATTATTTATTACCCATAGACTCTGTGTTTGCAAACTTGTCTACTGCTTAATTGTTTTCTGCAGTTCCAACAGCTTGTATTGCTCTCCCATTCATTGTGTGCAGGGACAGAAAGGCAAAATATCTGAACCACTCAACTTCCATCAGCCTTTCCAGCCAAGACTGAACTAAATGAAGCTGTCCTGTTCTGTTCTGCTCGTACTGTGAGCGAGGATCCTTTCCCTGCCTTTGTTCAGTGACTCTTTTATTTTTGTGTTTTCTTTGGAGAGCAGTTTCAGAGTTTGAAAGGATTCCAACAATAATACTGAAGTGATATATTTTATTCCTAAGCACACAAAGGTTATGGTGTATCCTACAGAGAAATAAGTGCTAGACTGCCTTCATATATCTGTGACTTATACAGACTTGTATAGACAGAGAGATAGATGGATATATAGACAGACAGATGGGCAGACAGACAGATAGATAGGTAGATGGAGAGATAGACAAGTAGGCAGATAGATTAAATATACATACAGATAAATATTTCCTTTCTGTGGTGCTAGTGATGAAACCCAGGGCCTTGTGCATGGTAGGCAAGCTTTCTACTCCAGAGCTACATCTCAGACCTAGGCATGAGTTGGTCTGGCCATTTGCTCTGAGTTTAGTGTTAATCAAGGATGCACAGAAAACATGTGTCTTTAAACATAAGCACACAACCGCGACTATGTGTTGATTGTTTTTAGAAAGTATTAAAAAGTTTGTCAGAGCCGGGCGGTGGTGGCGCATGCCTTTAATCCCAGCACTCGGGAGGCAGAGGCAGGTGGATCTCTGTGAGTTCGAGGCCAGCCTGGGCTACCAAGTGAGTTCCAGGAAAGGCGCAAAGCTACACAGAGAAACCCTGTCTCGAAAAACCAACAACAACAACAACAACAACAAAAAAAAAGTTTGTCAGAACCTAATGCTGCATTTTCCTCCAGGAACAATAGCTTAGGATTGCTAATTTGATGTTTGTGTTGGCATTCTAGAACATAAATACTTGGAATAGCAGAATCAACTCTTTGTGTGTGTGTGTGTGTATTATGTATGTATGTGTGCATATCTATAACTATAGATTTCCATTTGAAACTTTTCCTGAGTCATAAAACGATAGGAGAAAAACAAACTTAAATCTATGCTGCACGTTCTATGTATGGTATATACTTGTGCCATTGTTTAAACGATTAAACTTAAGGTAAAGAAATGTGTATGTGAGCCGGTGGTGGCGGCGGCGGCGGCGGCGGCGGCGGCGCGCGCCTTTAATCCCAGCACCCAGGAGGCAGAGGCAGGCGGATCTCTGAGTTTGAGGCCAGCCTGGGCTACCAAGTGAGTTCCAGGACTACACAGAGAAATCAGAGAGAGAGAAAGAGAGAGAGAGAGAGAGAGAGAGAGAGAGAGAGAGAGAGAAACAGAGATAGCAGGATAAATTACAATTACTAGAGGAAGTAGATGGAAAAAGATGCAGATAAAGGCGAGAGGAGGAAGAGAATGACCAATGCTTCAGGAGTCAGGGAGCACAGACCCTGTAGAGCGGCCACTGCAAGCAAACCCCACTTCTCGCCATTCTCTAAGTCAAGGATGTAAGTAAAAAAAGAAATAGGAAATTGCACATTTGCTGAATGTCGCATAGCTATTTGGAGGATCCAGACCTTTGTGGCTCAACTAAGACTTTTCAGCTTTCTGGTGGGCTTGTCAGGATAGACCCCCGTTGGGAGTACAGAAGGACTGTAATGTTCGGACAGGTCTGAAGGCAAAACATATTCTGAGGGAAAAGCATTGTAGAAGCAGTTAAGGGTAACCACACAATAAGAGGTCCAATTCGTTAGAAAAAATGTCCTGAGTTCAAACATGTTTGTGCTAAGCAACATTAGCTTCAAAATGTGGAGGTAGGGCTGGGGAGATGACTCAGTTTCCCGAGTTTGATGCCAAGAACCACAAAAAAAGCCAAGCTTGGTGGCACTCACTTGTAATCCCACCCGTGATGTGATGTGATTATTATATTGATGAAGAAACAGAGAAATAAATCACAATGACTATTAAAGAGATGCCAACGTGGATGTGAAGAAATTTAAGAGAATAGTTATTAGTAAGTAACTTTATATCTGTCAATGTGAAAACTTAAGGGAAGTGGTTAAATTCTTGAAACACTGTAAGAAATTACAAAATAACTTAAGAGGAAAGAGAAAAGCAGGGCCCAGCTACCCAGGAGGCTGAGGCAGGGGGATCCCACTTTCAAGGTCTGGCTGAACTAGTTAGTGAGCCTGTCACAAAATAAAAAAAAAGCAAAAAGGAGGTTTGGGGGTGTACAGCTCAATGGTAGAGCATCTGCCTGGGAAAGGGAAGGCCCTGGGTTCGATCCTCAGTACCATGAGGCCGGGGGTGGGGTGGGGTGGGGAAGAGGAAATAGAAAACCTAAACAGTCCTATAGTCACTAAATAATAGCAAAAATAAACTAAGAAACAATCCAACAAAAACAAAAATGAATATTTTTAGAGGACCGTGTTTCTCTAAGAACACATCAGACTCAGATGTTTCCCTGTCAAATGCTGACCAATGCTCCAATAATAGGTAATTCCAGTCTTTTATACATAATAGAGAAAGAGTAGCCAAAAATAGTGTTGGAAAAAAAGTACCAGATCAATCTTACTCCTGCTTAACAATGGCAGAAACTCTAAACAAAATAGCACACAGGACCCGGGGACTCACCAAAGAGATAAAGGTTTCTTTTGTCCCAGTTCTGCTTATTTCAGAAATGAAAGGTAGATTCAACATTGATTAAATAAAAAACTGATAAAAAAAACAACCACTTAGCAGTTTAGAGGAGAAGCAACACATGAGTTCTGTGGCGATGCATTATGATGAAAATCTCTCTCACATCTCAGAGACGGGAACTTCTGCTGCACCTTACAGGCAAGGTAATAATTACCTTGAGGTCACTGAAGAGTGACTGATAGTCTGCTGTGTGCTCAGCCTGTTTGTTCAGCCTACCTCTAAGAGAACAATGTAAAAACATCCGTACTCGCCTTAGATTTCCCACATAATCAGCTTTTGCAGCCTCAGCTAATGCATAGCTTTAATCATAAATTGTGTATTCTTCCATGCCCCTGGCCAAGTGCAATGCATGTGTGTTTGTGTGTGTGCTATAGAAATCATTTGCTGGAAATAGCAAACACTACAAAAGAGACCTTGTGCAATAAATATCTGCCACTAATGCTGAAAACAGCATGGGATAGTCTGTTTGCAGAGCTGTTTGTTATCTGGGTCAGTTGGAATCAGTGGGTTCATCCTTGTAAAACTCTGTTAGAGATTTCTGTAAGGTATCCATCAGTCCTTCCTCATGTGATGCCTTCTGTGCTGTTTAATAAAGGAGAACAAAACCCCATGTTAGGGACAGATTCATAGGGCAGCACTCAGGCAGGCACAGAATCAGACTCATCTGACAGATTACAGACAGGACAGATTGCAGACAGGCCAGAAACCATAAGCTACACAGAGACAGAAGACATGTAGAAAGGAGTGAAGAATTCAAATTTGGGCTCACTTTTGGCCAAAGACCTCCAAGATGAAGTGTTAGATTCTTTTCCTTAATTCTTTTCCTTAATGCATATCGGTGCATCCAAGACTATCTCTAATGCCTTTAGTCTGCACAGAGCAATAGAGCTGGAGAAAGAATTCAACAAAACTTCACAACCACGCATGAGGGACCTCTTGACAAACTAAGAAGCAAGGCACCTTTCAGACACCTGAAGAGATAACATAATAGCAAACACACTTGGGTATGGCCTGCTAAAAGTGTTCCTTCTAAAATCAGGAAAAGAAGGCTGTCTTCTCTCAACACCCCTGCTCGACATTGTAGCAGGGGTACAAGCTGGTGCCGTAAGTAAAACCGGGCAGGGGTGTCCCTCATTGGTTAATGATCTTAGCATTTCAGAGACTTAAAGTGATAGAGGAAGGCCTGTCTACTATTCATGTCCCTCTTATACCAGTAGATTTTCTATTTTATGGCTGTCACAGAAATAAAACCAATACTATTTCATTGCTGGAGGGATGGCTCAGTGGTTAGGAGCACTTGCTAGAGGCTCCCAGCACCCATGTGGTGGCTCAGTGGTAGAACACTTGCCTAGCATGCACAAGGCTCTAGGTTTAATCCCTAATACCTAAAATAAAGTTCCATTCAGTACTGTCAGTTACAAAACTGATATACAAAAAATTACTGTCATCTTAAGGGGGAGCGCCTGTTGGCCTCACGTTGAACCAACCGCTAGTTTTCACTGAATATTATTTTGACTTGAATGACAGCTGATCTGGCCTTGATAATGAATGAAAAGCTTGTTACCTCCAAGAAAACAATCCACAGCATTTGTTGCCAGTGATGAAGTTCAAGCTTTCAAGAGAAAATTGGGAACTTACAAAACCCTTGTCCACCTCTGTGAGCTTGAGAGCCTCTGAGTGTTCACAAAGTTTCTTCTCCCCAGCAGTGGGGAGATCTGCTTCACTCAGTAGTGTCTCCGGGTTTTTTAGGTGATCAATGTATCACATATTCAAGGTGCGTGACAGTCCAGTGATGTCACGGTGTATGGAAAGCTCACAGATACATTTTTAGATCTTATGTTACAACGAGTGTTTAAAAACAGCACTTGCAGTACCTAACAAGAATATGGACAAATATCTCACAAGAATATTTCAAATTCTCAACTACGGCCCACGAGACTGGCACTGGGATGGAACCCAGGGTTCCCTGCGTGAGAGGAAAGTGCTCTGCCCTTGTCCTTCAACTCCCAGCCTGAAGGACATCTCTGTAGTTGATGCCATTGCTCATCGGCCCTAAAGTCATGTGATCTCTACCAACAGCGTACAAGAGCTCTATTTTCCTTCCATAACCACAGTATGATCCTTATGGTCCTTGCCTCTCTCAGAGGCAAAAAGGCCCTGCCTTTTGTTAGGCAGGGCCACTGGGATGCTTCCAGTTCTGGCTGGATCTAGCCCTTTGGTTAGACACCCTACTTCAGTGGTTGGGCCTCTAGGAACCAAGAACTAGCTCTAAATCCTGGACTGGCTCTATGTGCCCAATCTTCTCAAGGTACCCAATCTTCTCAAGCACGGGGCACCAGCCGGCACTTCCCTCGGTGGCCGCTGGAGGGCACCGGCGCCCGCCGAAACGGACAAAGAGGACCTGCAGGTCCGGGGATATGCAGGATGCACCCTGTATCCAATCTCTACCCAGCTGACTCAAGGTGACAGCAGACTTCTCGACCACACAACCACCCTGGCTGGATGAGTGATTTGATGCGGTACAGCCAGTCCGTCCCCTAGGCTCCCCGGGACTCAGTACTCTTGCCATCTGTGCTGGAAAGTCCTGGATGTAGTGGCTAGGGGCCCTCCATTCCATTCTGGGCATCAAGGCTCCCCCAGCTGGTGCCCGTGAGATCCATCCATATCACGCCCCCCACCCCCCGCCTCCTATGTGACCATCACTGGGTGGAGGCCAATGTTGTCTCTGCCCTTCCAAGAACCTTTTACCTTTGTGCCCACCAGGGGGTCCTTGTTCACAAAAGCCTGGACAAACTCCTCAGGTCCTATGTGTCTTAGTCGCTCCTGCGTGGGAAAGGGAGAAGAGTCAGAAAAGAGGCAAGGCAGAGGGAGGGGTTGCATGCTGGGAGCCAGCAAGGGAGCCGTGAGGGATACAAGTGTGGCAGGAAGGCGTCCACTGCCCTTCATTGCTTCTCTGGGGGTGGGACCCTTTGGCCTCTGCACCTACTTAGAACCCCATGTGTTTGGGGCAAGGTCAGCTCATTCCCTGTTACCTGCATGAAGGGGGACTTAGCTGCTACTCTGGAAAGCTGGGAAGGGCAGCCTCCCTCCCCTGACCCCCATGCATGTAGGGCCCAAATGGGAAGTTCCTCAGGCCTGAGAAGAACAGACATTGAATGGCATCATGAGAGTTTGAACCCAGTTCCTCTGTCCTCAGTCTAGACTCTTATGTTGGCACCTCTAGACCTCCCGTCCCAGGCCCAAGGATGCCGAGGAACTGCTCCAAGGCCTTCTGCAGATGCCCCTGATCACTAGGCCTAGATCCCTGGGCTAGCCTGAGATCAGGAAAGACAGGTTGGGGACAATGTTGGCTACTTATAATGGCTCCCTTGGGCAGGTCCCACTCACCAGCTCCACGTGGGTCAGTTGCTGGGCCAGCGTGTAGGGGTCGCTGCAGACACCTAGGAGCTCCCTGTGGATGGAGGCTGGTGGCTTGGCCCTGTACGAGATGGGCTTGTCCGCCCCTACCAGGCCTTCTGGCCCCTGGCCAAGCGATGCCAGTTTCTGGTGCAGGGTCTGCAGGAGCTGATGCATCCTGTTCCCATAGGTCTAGGGCAGGGGTGAGGGGAGAAGGTGCTCAGGAGTCAACCCCAGCTGCCGGCTCCTCTGTGTGTGTGTGTGTGTGTGTGTGTGTGTGTGTGTGTGTGTGTGTGTGTACAAGGCCAGGTACCAGCAAATATCGTGGGACCTCTCCCATCCTAAAAAAGGACCCTAGGTTGGACATGTGGTAGTTGGGGCCAAAGTGAAGGCCTGTTAGGGAGAAGGCTGGAGGGTTCCAGGTGGGAGCTGAGAAAATACTTTGGGTAGGCCATCTCTGGCTAACTCGCAACAGCTGTCTGAGCTTCGGGGTGAAGTGGAGAAGGCCAGCCAGGGAAGGAAGGAAGAGGAGGAAGGGACGGCATGGGACAGGCCCTGCCCGGAGATGGGGCCTCTTACTGGCTCCCGTGGGAACCATCCTGCTCTTCCAGCCCAGCTCAGAAACGCCTTCCCAGCCAGCCTCACTCTCCTGCCTCAGTCCCTGGCAGTGCCTCCTTCTTCAGTGAGACTTCTTCCACAGGGTCCCGGCTAGAATGATGCTGAATGGGACAGGAAATGCCGTCTCTGTCACCAGAGCTCAGCCCAGCTCTGGGCAGGCAGCATGTACCCCGTGAATGGGACAAAAATCCACTCCACGTGGAGCTCAGATCGACAGCCTGCTTTGGATCATGCCCTGAGCTGGGGGTAGGGGCAGGAGGTTCCTGCAGGGGCACCCTCTTCTACGCACAAGGGGGAAATCCATCATCTCTCCTGCAGAGACCTTATTTCTTAAAAAAAATTTTTTTTTAATTAAAAAAAATGGATGCAAACATGTTTGTTTGTGTGTGGGTGTGTGCACTTCAGTGCAGGTGCCCTCAAAGGCCAGAACAGCGCTTTAGTCCCCTGGAGCGTGAGTTACAGGTAAGTTGTGAGCTGCTTGGTGTAGATGCTGGGAACTGAACTCACATCCTTCCGCTTTTAACCACTGAGTCCTGTCAGCCCCAGAGGCACTACTTCTAAAGAGAGATGCCATCAGTCAAGCTGGGTTATTGAGATGTCTACATATCCCAAGAGTTTGGGCCAGTAACCCAGAATAGCCCCCTGAGTGTGTTAGCCTGTGGCAAATGTCACCCCTAGAGATGACGCTACTCCTCACGAGCCAGGGAGCTATCCCGGGAGCTGGCAGAGCAGCAGTAGGCAGTGGGGGAACCTGCTCTCTCAGGAGCTCTTGTGGTTCATCTGTGGAGCCCTTCTCCTGCCCCAGTTACAGGTCCCTGGCTATGAACACTACCAGCTCGACTCTGCATGGGGAGCAGGGCAGTGGAGGGAGGCCTCTGTAGCACCGGTCCCTGGATATGGGACTTTGCAGGTGGCTTACTGGGTCAGAGAGCCTGGACACCAGTCCATCTGCGCCCATTGGTGGGTCTTATTCATCACCTAATACCATTGCCAGGACAGAAGGGAGAGGAAGAGATCCTGGGCCTAAACCTCACCCTGGGTTCCCTCCCTGATAAGCAGGGCCTGGTTTCTCCATGGGCTCCGGAGGGCCCACTGAGGGGTTGTACTATGCCGTGTGGGGAGAGAGGAGCCCAGAGGAGGCTGGAGACGGGCTCAGGTCCTGGATAGGAAGATACAGGAAGGGGAGTGACTTCCACCCGGGCTGGCCCACCTCATCACACGGGGCAATGCGGCCCACCACGTCTGTTAGGTGTCCAATGGTGGACTCCTCCTCGAAGTCCCGGGGGAAGGTTTCAGTCCACTCGGCCAACAGCTGGAGCAGCTTGGCCCCAAACTTCCGGACTCGGGCCTGCAAGGCGAAGCAGAAGCAGGGGCCACTCGGCGGGGGTAGTGAGGAGTTCTCAGGGCCCCAGGAGCCCCTCACTGAGCATGCTCTGCCTGTCGGGGGATCATACCATGGGCCCCCGCAGGAGGGGTGGTAAGCCTCTGGGTATCTGCACCCGCAGCAGAGAGAGGTTAGAAGGTCTCCCTGACAGAGGAGGCCACCTACCACCGTGCAGGAGAATCTGACAGCACAGGGTGAGGCTTTAGTCCCAGCTGAGATCAGGACAGAGCACCCAAGTGAGGAAGCCCGTGTCCTAGTGCTGGGACTTGGACCCCCAAAGAGAAGGCAGTTACATGAGTCAGCCATGTCCTTTCCTTGAGCCGGTTGAAGCTGGGATTCTACCACAGTACCCAGAAGCCTGACTGACACGGGTGTAGAAAACCATGAGGCCAGGGAGAAGGGAAAGGGTCTGAGGCGCCAAGGGATGGAGAAGCCGTCCTTCTCATACAGAAATAGAATGCAACTGGACGGAAGCCCAGCAGAGGCATGGGGCCATGCCAGGTCACAGGTGGCAAGGCCCCTACGGACTAGGCTCTGGGGACCCAGGTCTGGCTTTAACATGCTCTCACTGGACTTTGGAAAATGGCACAGGTATAAGGTACCTGTCCTTGCAGGTCCTGGGCCTCAGATAAGTCACCAACTTAATAGGCTCCCTTTCCAGAGGGCGGAGCAACCACGGCCTCCCGGAGAGGCTGACACTGGGAGGTCACGCCCCCGGGATACAGGTGCCCTCAGGGGCCCCCTCCTGCCCAGCCCCTCACCTTGTCCAGCACCGGCTTGTCCAGCTGCTGCTGCTCTATGCACAGGTGGCACACCCGCGCCAGCAGCTCCCGGGGCTCGATGAAGAGGCGCGAGCTCAGCAGGAAGGTGAAGACATAGGCTTTCTGGGGAGGATACCGCACAAGCGCATCAGGGCACAGAGAGTGTGTCGCCAGCCTGCCCCAACTCCCCAGGCACGAGGCCATCCCCCCCCCCATCGCATCAGCTGCCCCATGCTCTCTCTCCTGCGCCCCCCCCCCCCCCGCCAGGAGGCTCACCTACCTCGGGGTAGTAATCGGCTGTGGGCACTAGCTGCTGAATCAGAGTGTCCAGAGAGGCTGAAGATGGAGCTCCGTCCAGGAGGGGCTGTCCAGCCTGCTCGCCTTCTGTGGATTCTGTGGGAGGCGGGCTGAGGCTGCCCGGGGTGACCATGTCGGAGGCACTCAGTGTCCGGGGCATGCCTGCCTGGAACGGCAAGAAACAGTTGGGGTAACCCGAGCTGGGTTCCAGGCTGGAGGACTCTGCCTCTCGCTGTCTGCTTCAGTTCAGTGAGCACATCACGTGAGGCGGCTGGTGTCCCTTACTCCACAGCCCAGCATCCACTCTCCATTTTCGTCTAGTTCCCCTAGGAACTATCTCGTCTTCACTGTTGGTCTCTCCAGAACCTTCTCTTCCTGGGAAACCCCTCCATAGAAGCTGGTTGTCCCTCCACTTCTCTCTCATCTTTATATTTCAGGCTGGCCTGTAACTCGCAGCAACCCTCCTGTTTCAGATTCGTCCGGGGCTGGCACTCCAGGGGTGAGCCACCATGCCCACCCTTAATTGTCCTTAATAGTCACCATATTCCCCCAGCTACTGGCCACAAAGAGTGGCTCAGGGGTGACCCTGATCCAGACTAGGGGTTCAGGAATAATCCCAGACCTTCATTGACTCTTTGAAGCTATTGTTCCCCTGAGGTCCTATTGACTGGATGTTGGGGGATGGATGTAAGCTCGATATTGTTGAGTTCATCTTGTCATTATGAGGATCTGGGAAAGTAGGCACACTCTTTTCTGGGGGAGAGAGCTGAGAGTGAACCCTTGTGTATACACTACCTAAGGGCTCTACCACTGAGCTAACTCCCCAGGCTTTTTGCTACTTTTCATTTCCAGACAGGGTCTTCTAAGTTGCCTGAGCTGGCTTTTGTATGGACTCTGTAGTCCAGGCAGGCCTTTGAACTTATGGTCCCCTTGCCTTAGCCTACTGAGCAGCTGAGATCACAGGCCTGCACCACCATGTCTGACTGAAAGCAGACACATTCCAAGAACAGTGTTAGAGCTGGATGCTCTTCCTGAGCCATGCTGCGGACTTCCCAGTTGTCTGCACCTGCTTAAGTTGGCGTTCTTGCCAGTGCAGTTCAAATCTCTGCCTCCCGCAGCTGCCATTCCAGGAGCTCTGTGACATGGGTCCACTCACCCGCCCAACCTTGCTTCCTCCCTTTCCCATTGGGCTTCTGCCACCACCACATGCTCTCCTCTCCAAACATGTCCTACTCTGACCCCTGCATACGCTGTCGCTCCTGCAGGGTGGCGCCCACCTTCTTCCCTCCTCTTCCCTCAGTCCGTGTCTGAGGCACCTCTGGGGCTATCATCCCTGCTTCCTCCCAGTGTCCCTCTACTCCAAGGCCATGCCTGGTCCCTCGTGGACACCAGGGGACTTTCACTGTGAGCCCTGTTGTAAGTCTGGGGGCTTCTGTCAGCTGCCGGTGTAGAGAAAGCCCTCTGTAGGCATGACAGTGTTCTCTCTCCATGCAGGCCTCCTCTCCACCAGTGTCAGAGAGTCTCTGTGGCCAGCAGAGGGCCACATTTTTACAAGGAGCATAACGCTGGCTCCCAGAAGCTCTTCATCACATCCCTATAGGCCAGTCTGTGGGTGTTGGACCAGCCCCAGCCTAGACAGTCAGGTCACCCCACTTTCTCAAACACAGAATCTTATAGGATCACCCCAAGGAACTTGCCAGGACTTAGTGTTCTCTGCTGCCCCCTGAATGACTCTGGCTTTTTCTGCCCCTGAGTGACTCTGACCTGAGAGCAGAGACAGAAAGAGAGGGGGTCAGAGCACACTCAGGGATGAGAGGGAACCTTTCAGAGAGCTGTCCACAGTCTGTGGTGGTAGAGGTGCTGGGATGGGGCTTGGTCGCCAGGCATGGAGGCGCACGCCTTTAATCCCAGCACTCTGGAGGCAGAGGCAGGCGGATCTCTATGAGTTCTATGCCAGCCTGGTCTACAAAGCAAGTTTCAGGACAACTAGGGCTCATACACAGAGAAGCCCCACCTCATAAAACCAAAAATGGGGGTAGGGGGTTGGTCACTCCAGGTGGGGGCAGACTGGACAATCCTGACCTTGGTGACAGTCCCAGATTGTCACCTCTCTAGCAAGCTGTAAGCACTCAATTTTCAGTCCTGAAACTGTAAATTTCGCAAACCACCTCTTGTCTAACCATGTGGGGAAGCCACTGTAGATGAAGATCTGCAGGGGGTGGGGGGGGCCCCCTGAAGATTCTCACTGGAGAGGGTGGCCATCTCTAGGGACAGCGGGTGCCAGCTCTGTCTCATGCCTGGGGCTCAGCACCTGGTTCTAACTCCACAGGACAAAGTGTGTGAGCTTAAAAGGTCCCCTCTCTCCTGTGTGATATCTGCTACCTCTTCGCCCTGCAGCCTGTCCTGGACTCCGGTCCCATTTTCTCCAAGATGGGCTAGTGACAACATGGAGGTAACACTGAAACTCTCCACGGGACAGGGCAGCCCTCTGCCACATGGTGGGAGGAACCATAGAGGGATGCTTCACAAGACAATCAGGGAAGCTCCCAGAATACCTCTGGTCCTGGCTTAGCGTCCATCGGGCATTTGACGCTGGGTCCATGACAGTGGGTGGCTAATTCACACTGGGAGCTGAAGGAGTGTCCCACAGGGATGACCAGAGAGGGGACCGGCTGCACATAGGAGGCTGGGAAAGTCACTGCACTGAGGCCTGAGCACAGGAATGAGCCCGTGGAAAAACATGCCTGGCAGGAGACCAACGCAGGTGAAGGCTGGGATGATTATGGAAGGTGTGCTTAGGTGGCGGGGACCAGGTGGCAGGTCCTGAGTGACTGAGTAGGGGATGAGGGAAGGAACAGGGTGATGGGGACATCACACATCCATGTGTGGAAGCACAAGCCTGTCCAAGAAGCACGTGGAGGCCCCAGGCCCTGCCCCCACATGTCCTTTCCTGTAGGTATGACTGACTTTTTATTAGTTTCTTAACTACTGCCCTATAGCTTCCTTACCCAAAGACAATACAAGCATATATTTATTTCCCCTTTCTTTATTACACACATCCAAAATAGCATATTCCCCACAATGACCAGCTCTGGATTCTTTTCACTAACAATACATCTCGGAAATCTTTCTGTGGAAGGCCAGGGTTTGTTTCTTTTTTTTTTTTTCTTAAAATTTTATTTTAATTTTTAAAACCATCCTATTCACTATATGTCCAGAAGTAATTCCATAAAGCCAGTGATGATGCATCCTACATGTTCATCAACGGACGAATGGATAAACAAAATGTACCATATATATATATATATATATATATATATATATATATATATATATATATATGATGAATTATTATTCTTCCTTAAAAGGGAAGAAAATTCCGATATGTCCTACAGCATGGAGAAACACTGGGGACATTAGGCTAAGGGCAGAAGCCAGTTACAAAAAGACAAAAGCTAGTCTGGGGAGATAAGCAGTTAAGAGCATATACTTCTCTTGTGGCTCACAAAGTCCTCTTTTGGTTCCCACAGGTACCACGCTCAGTTGTGTTCTCTGTTTCTGTCTCTCTCTCTCTCAGAACAATAAATGTTTGAATTTCTCTCTTGGCTTTTTTGGTGGCATGAAACTGTGTGTGTGAACTGGATCCAGGCACAATGTGGTTTTAGGAGGTCTCCATTTTATGACGCATCACTGAGCTTCACGGTATTGTAACAGATACTTAAGATAGTCAACGTATCAAGATAAATGGTTTATTTCAGCTTACTGTTTTGAAGCTTCCTTTCTGGTCAGTATCCTAATCGCTTTGGGCTAGTGGAGACACCACAATAGGGTTCTTAGCAGAAAAAAAAAAAATCACTCGCCTCATAGCTGGTACGTGAAAGAAATGAAGAGGAAGAGCTCATAGTCCTCTTCAGGTGCATGACCCCAGTGACCTGAAGAGTGCTCACTGCGTTACACCTCTTAAAGGTCTGCCACCTTTCCACAGCACCATCCTGGGGACCAAGCTTTGATGCACAGGCCTCTGGAGGAACCTCAAGATCCAAACTAGAGTAAGACCATGTGTAAGTTACTGTATCACTGCTGTGATAAATACCTTAGAGTAAGACCATGTATAAGTTACTGTATCGCTGCTGTGATAAATACCCTAGAGTAAGACCATGTATAAGTTACTGTATCGCTGCTGTGACAAAATAACCTGACAGACACGGCTTAAGGGAGAAAGGGTTTATTCTGTCTCAGTTCATCATGGCACAGGGGCTGTGGTGGCAGGAGCTGGAGGCATCTGGTCTCCTTGCATCCATAATGACAAAGCACAGTTATAAGGGCTGGTGCTCAACCTAGCTTTCTCCTTTTTATCCAACCCAGAACCAGAGCCCAGGAATGGTGCCAGTCACTTTTGGGGTTAGTCTTCCCACCTTCACCTAATTAAAATAACCCCTCACAGGCATGACTGGAGGCTAACCTAATCAAGATAAGCTCTCATAAGAGAGCCGGGAGCCACTAACCATCACAGACCATGAAAGAGATGAGAATTATACAATAATCAGTGCTGGCGGGCATGTTGGAGTAACCCTTTGAACGCTGCTGGGGTGAAGGGGTACATGACGACATTGGTACTTTTGAACTGTACCAAGATTTGGTTTCATGTGCCAAGTGCTTTGTATCCCATTGTCCTTTCATGCCAATAAAGTCCTTGGCCATACACTCCATGACAATAATCACAAGGGAGGCGTGCTGGGAAGAAAGGTGTGTGCGTCAACTGTAACACTGCAAAGTCCACTCTGTGGCTTGTACTGGCAAGGGTCCCCTTATTTTTCACACTAGCAGAAAAGCTGCCAGCCCGCTACCCTCATGGGGACTTTACCTACGGTGTTTAGGACGTCTAATTTTTGTCATGAACGCTGTTCAACTTCGCCACTTCCTGTCCTGCACTGAGATGACTGGGCCTGTGTATGCGTGTTTCCAGTTACTGTGTACGCCATCCATTTCCAGTTGAACCGTCCTTGCCTTCCATCAGTGGCTCCCACTTAGTCCTGTAGTTCGATCTTTTAATGTGCTGCTAGGTTTGGCTTGATTGTTTTGTTGTTGTTGCTGAGGACCTTTGCATCACTGTTCCTGGAAGGAATGTTGTCCTCAAATGTTCCTTTGTTGTAGGACCCCTACATCAGACCAAATACTTGCCCTATAGAATGAGCTAGGAAGTGTTCCTCCCCTTCGATTATTGGTAAAAGTTTGAAAGGACTGGTATTAGTTCTCCTTCGTGTATTTACCAGTGAGGCCACCAAGTCTGGGGCTTGTCTCTGTTGGTGCTTTTGATCACTAGCCCAATCTCCTAACTAGTCTCAGGGCTTTTTCAAATCTTCATTCCTTTGTAATTCAGATGTCATAACTTTTGTGCTTCTAGGAATTTCCATCTGCTTCATCTAGCTTATTCAATTTGTTGGCATACAATTGCTCGTGGCATTCTGATATCACTTCTATTTCTGCAGAACTGGCTCCATTCAGCTGCACTTCTTTCTTTCTCCTCAGAGCTTTTGGAAGCTTGGGGAAGAGGCTTGAGTCCCCAGCTTTCTCCCAGGGCCCGGAGCCAACCTGCTTCTGGGCAGGCATCTAGGGGCAGGTGTTTAGGGTCGCAGCCAACCCAGGGCAGCGAGGCTGCTACTTTGCTTGGCTGCTTCTTCAGGAACAAGGAACAAACTATGTCCTTCAGGGCTGAGGCACTCAACACAGGGCTGTTTCCAAGGGTCTGGGTGAAGAACTTGCTCCACCTAGTCCAGACAGGTTCCGACCTCCGGAGGTTTCAGTAAGAAACAAACTCTATGCCGCTCGGGTCGTTTAATCCTTAAAGCATCCTTTAATCCACCTGGCTTCATCCACAGCAGGCTGGTGACAGGACTGGCTGGGAGGGGAGCACCGGGCTGACTTAGCTGGGGCTCCTGATGACAGAGCCTGTTGCTTCCACACTCCCAGAAGCAGTGGTTTTGAAGAGCTCGGACACTTGCAGGAAATCTGTTGTTGCAAATGGGGAGCACCGAGACCCACTGCAGGCTGGCCGCTGAAAAACAGAGCTCTCCAAAGAGGGCAAAGCTGGCGTCTCCCCTGCTCCATTCCCCACCCTCAGCCCTGATGACAACCATTTCCTAAACTTTATTTGGGGAGAGGCACTGGGTCAAAGGACACCAGCCTTTGAAGAGCTGTACCACTTAACTGATCCCTGAAACCACAGCAAAGGGCTACTGTTTCTACGTCCCAATCACCATGCTTTTGAAATTTTGGGTTGAGACAGGGTGTCCCTCTATGTAGCACTGGCTGTCCTTAAACTCGATATGTAGACCAGGCTGGACTTGAACTCACAGAGATCCGCCTGCCTCTGTCTCCTAAGTACTGAGATTAAAGACGCTCCCCACCAATGCTTGGCTCCAATCACTGTGCTGCGATTGTTGTTGTTATTATTATTATTGTTAATTTATATGTCTGAGTGTTTACCTGCAATATGTATATGCACCATGTATGTGCCTGGTACCCATGGAAACCAGGGAGTGTGTCAGACCCCCCAGAACTGGATTTTCAGACAGTTGTGAGCCATCATGAGGCTCACAAAAACCCAGGGAGTGCCTTTAAGCACTGAGCCATCTCTCCAGCCCCCCAACCCCCACTCCAAACCCCACTACCACTACCCCACCCCACGACGCTTCTTTGCTTCCATATGTCACTTTTGCACTGGTTGGCACCCAAGTCAGGAAGACTAGAGGCAGGGTGGGGGTGAAAGAATCCTGGTTCACGAAAGTATTGAATCCTTTTCCTGCTGAGCTGGCAACCCAGGTTATACAATTAAAGTAACTCCTGAGTCCTGTTTGGAGAAGACCATGGAGAAGTGTCCTTTCGGTATTTCCCCTTCATTAATAAAAAATTAAAAAAAGAAGACTCTATAAGCATACCCAGAAGTTAAATAATAACAACTATTATTATTACTATCATTGTTATAAAATGAACATCTGTGACCTACTTCCTAAGCTAATAAAATGAGCATTACTGGTACGACAATGTATCATGCCCTTCCCTTCATCAGTCCCACTATTCACCCTAACCTTTGGTGGATAAGCATCTTGACTTTTGTGCTAAAAGTTTCCTTGTTTTTTATTTATAGTTTTTCTCATATATCTATCACTAAGCAATATGCAGCAATATATTGCTTAATTGTTGGAGATTTAGGAAATGAGTTTATTAATGACTGAGAAATGCATCATTAGGTGATTTCATCATTGTGTGAACACTGGTATATGCTTATACAAATCTAGACCAGTTGGTGCAGTCTATTATGTACCAAGCATGTGTGTGCTCATGTGTGTGTGTGTGTGTGTGTGTGTGTGTGTGTGCTCGTGTGTGTGTGTGTGTGTGTGTGTGTGTGTGTGTACATATATGTACATATGTCATTGCTCCTAGAACTATGAGGAACAAAAAATATGAGAGTAAATCAAAGACAAGAGAAAGTGATTTAATCAAGAAAAGTGACAAACACATATGGACAAATGTGTGCCCATGTGACATGGTATACTTATTATCAATGGTGATGGCTGGTATTGTCAACTTGATGAATTTTTGAACCACCTAGGAGATGGGCCTCTAAGCATGCGTGTGTGTGTGTGTGTGTGTGTGTGTGTGTGTGTGTGTGTGTGTGTG